GGGGAATTAAAAGCTAGTGATCCACCCCTTAATAAAATTAATGGAATGCATCATTTGCTTTGGGTACTTTAACCAAGTCATGTTAACTTAAATACAATAAGGCATACACAAAATATAATTAACAAATCTTAGTCCTTTCCTCATCTCCACGTTGTGGTTTACTATCCCACAATTCCCACTTCTTTTCATAATCACTTTCCACTGTAATACTCATTCTCAATTATTAAAGACAAGCAACTCTTCTTGTATATTAAAGGAGAAAAGGTAAGCCATTTGCTATCTATACATCATAAAATAGTCCAGAACACGACAGACAGAAAATATAACAACCCCTTCACTTTTATCAGATCATCTCCATGCATCTCAAACCATTCCTACATAAGCAGAACATTTTATTCATCCAAATTCCAACAAAATAAATGGTAGAGAAACTTTTAGCATAGAAAAAGAGCAAGAATACTGTAGAAATGAGACAATTCCACAGCTGTCTTACCTCTCCAGCAAAGAGACGAGGTCTTAAACCTAATGCGGAGCAAGGAGCATCAAGGAGCACACGATCAAAGCTATTGGGAGAAAAACCTTGAGACTTTTCGACCCTCCCACCTGCAGTGTGATTCCTTCCTGGCCCATTTTTTAGTTTCCTTATATGTTTCCGTAGTTCAGCTTTGCTAGTGTACTGACCATCCTTCGCCTGCAAGTCATCTACTGAGAGATTCGTTTAGTTACTCTAGTTAACTGGAACTGTCAGAACATTTTCATACTGAATTTACAGGTTCTGAACTTGTGAAAATGTTCTTGAATTAAGAGAATCATGAGCTAACATTATTCAAAGGACTACCAAACCAGTCTGAGTAACTTATACTACAAACCTTAACCAAATAAATATCTGCTGTTTATATACACACATGTAAATGGCACATCAAACAATTCATCCGCATCATAATTTCCTTAAATAAAATGCCAATTGATTGTAAAGATACAGCATCAGCCAACTGCATTTCAATTACACGAAGTTGGGCAATGGCAAGGTCAACGCACATCAATATAGTGGAATCACTAGTTGAGGAGCTCACTGTTTCAAAGGACCCCAAAAATAAACAAGTACGGGTAGATGCCAAAACCTCTTCAACAGGCTAAAAGGAGAGACCAAAGACATTCTTTTCAGCAGATCACAAAACAAGCAGAATACAACATTAACAACACATCCCCGAACTGGAAAAATATCATGATCAAACTGAAAGCTTTCTGACTACTCACTGTTCTTTTGGGATAGTAACTTTTCATCAAATACATCTATAGTAGCGGATGATAAATCTGATTTTTGCATGTTTTGTACATCCTCGCTACAGCATGTGTTAGGCAAATTATCAGATTCAGCTCCACAACAAACAGACTTCAGTGCGTCAAGCTTATATGTAGTTATACAGCTTAAATCCAGCTCAGCCGCCAATTTCTGAATTCCAAGCACCTGTATCATAACACAATTAGATCTCTTCAAAGAACTGGACCAGCAAATTTTGGCCCTCTTTTACACAATCCAAAAAATGGAAAGAAGTTTTGAATTTTGAGCTGGAAAAGTGCAAATTCACAGCTTATTCTTAGAGATAGGAATCTCTTTTATGTATTTACTGATGTAGCTTGTGACTTCTCAAGTTCTTTAATTACCAATTATGAAATGATGAGGTATGAGTATCTAGAGAAAGGTGTTTAACCTCAAATGGATTCGCTTTTAACCTCAAATGAAAGCACTGGGTAGGCTTTCTTATCAAGGCGGCAAGGTTTGGCAATAGGAGTTCATCTACAAAAAGTATCACCGAAGAATAGTATAGGAAATATACTTCATGATATGAATGTCGAAGAATATGATTGCCGGACTATGAAACAAGGGAATGTACAACTTTATGCTGGCTGTATGGAGTATGAGAAATAATGAGCCAACAACTAAATGAGAAGACAAGAATTTGATAGCAAATTTAGTGAACAGCAACATCAGAAAGATCAGTCTTCTCTCAAGTTGGTACAAAGCACATATTGAATAGAATGAGAAAAGTTCTCCATTTAGGTCTGCCTAAATGTGAAAAAGGATATGAGCAGTGTTTTTAAAAGCGAAAAACACAAAAAAGTGATAAGGTCCATAGGGCTTGAAGCAAAAAGCGAGAAGTGAAGTGCACAAGTTACAGAAAATCAAAAATACCCAAACACGTCTATATAGTGTTATAATAATCAAATTGCAATTAAGATAACTAATTCCAGCATCCAATTTAAAATAATATTGATACTAATCCAACTTTTCAAAGTTGAGATTCAAAATATCAACCCGTTCCTGTTAGGATTACTTTGTGTCACATTGTTTGTAGCACATGGCTATGCAAATCAAGCGGTAACCCCTCGCTTCGCATCGCTTCATCACTTTAAGCGACAAAGTGATGACTTAAAATAACACTAGATTAAGTTTGAACTTGTTTCTGTGCCATCTTGGTACTAGTTTAATAAAAGACTTCACCTATCAAAAAAAAAAAGATCTGAGAAGTTTTAAGAAGTGATCCTGTGATTGAGCTTAGAGAAGAAAGGAATTAGAGGAGTGAGAAGCAGGTATCTTAATAAAGAACATACACAATAGGCTATAGCCAATAACCAAAGTGAGAAATAGGGACAGGTGAATCTTGCTAATTTTTATTTTATCACAAGGAATCCTGCTAATGTCTAATCGCCTCTGTCCGTAGCTTATCTTCACGCTATGACCTTATTTGACTGTTTACACATGCAATAACAATTAATATGCAAAATAGGATCAGCATGGGCACATTTTAGGTACATCTTACAATTGGACTTGAGTAATCACTGATTGGAATTATGCAGAGACTTAGATGATAGAGGACTTGGAACTAGCTTCCGCAGAAGTAGGAAGGTAACTCAGTCCACTTTGAGGAAGAAAAGCTAATATGGTAAATTATGAGTTGCAATAAATACCCAAGAAGTTACTATTTCAACAATAAAAAAGTTAGCACCTACAAAAATTACCTATCAAGGGCAATTAGTCATATAGATGGAAAAAAAGGTGATTAAATGCAAAATGCTAGGTTTTCTTCATGGAAGAACTGCATGCCTAGCATGTTAATACTAACATGCCTGGAATGATAGCAGGATTAAAAAGGCTAAAGCGGGCAGAACAAAAATGAAGGCGCAAACAGTTAATCATTTAGAGAAAATAGGAGAAAGATTTACATGGTCAATACAAACTCAGAGAGTCTGTGATACACCTAACCGGTCCAACATTGACACATCCTAGGGATCCTCCTCTACCACATAAATCAGATGGCATTACGCCAAAAAGACACAACAATGTTAATAGCATTTCATTTTAATAATAATCATGAGGAACACCACCACGGAATCTCATCACCGAACAATCCCTAATTAAATCCAGGCACAGATATATATGCCCTGTGAGCATATTAAGACCATCGAGTCCAAAAGGAAAGTACTAATGCTAAACAATAACCACTTAGAAATCAAAATGCAATATGTGCGGGCTTCATTCTTTACTTAATTAGAGAACACACATTCATTTACTTAATTATGTCTTCAACACGCTCCCTCACGTGCAGGCTTGATTTTTTTTTATGAGCCAAGCACGTGAAAATTCTTTTTGATATTGGGTGGCAATGAGACTCGAACTCAAGACCTCTGGCTGCTTGATATCATGTTAAGGAAAAGGACATGGGGCCTAACTCAATCCCAAAAGCTAGCTCATGAGGTAAGGATTGCCCAAGATGAGATAAGGAAACCAATGAACCTCATCCTCACCGATGTGGTATATTTTTTTTAATAACCATGGTGTACGGACTAGCTTACGCTCACCTCGACTAATTCCACAGGATACCTGTGACCTCCCACCAACAACAGGTATCAGGTAACTCTATCCACCAAGGCTTGGACATATGGGAAGAAATCACCTAGTGTTTTAGCCTCCGCTAGGATTTGAACCTGAGACCTCATGCTTCTCACCACCTTCATTGACCACTAGCTCACACACCCTTGGGTGCACGATGGAGGATTTTCAACACCACCGAATTCGCTTATTACCACTTTCTAGCACAAAATCAAGCCAACTCGCTCATAATTTCTTGACATAGTTTAATGTGAATGTTAGATAATGAACGTAGACATAATCTTATGTAATATACATAGCTAGCATAATTATAGGGATTCACAACAGATTTATAGGATTTCCTTTTTGATTCTTTCCATAGTTAAGGCTCTATGTACTTGTATATATACTTGTTATTTCTTGAATACAACACAAGAGAGATTTCTCTATTGTCTCTATACTTTACATGGTATCAGAGCAGGTCTGCTGCTCGCCGGAGTTGAGTCGAATCCGCTGCCGGAAATTCCTTGGCCGGAAGCTAATCTGAGGTTTTTATGACATTTCTAGTTGACTTGTGGTGGTTCTCTGATCATAGAACCATATTTTGGCAAAGAACAACCTCAGACCAGATCTTATTCTCACTTTGTTTGGTCAGGTTTGAGTTTGGTTTATTGGTTATTCGATTTCTTTAATTCTGTGGTATTTTTCTTGGAGGGTGCCTGTGTGAGAAGCTTGCATCTTTAATTTTGTTTGTTGGATCTTTCCTTATCAGAAACTTTGTTGGTCTCTAATTTTGTTTGAGTTGGGGACAAATTCGTTTGGTTCTCTGATTTGGTTGAGTGGATTATTAAAGTTGAATCTTGTTCAATAGATTGTTGATTTCGTATCTACCAGGATCTGTTTGAGTATCTTTTAGCTTTGGGGACTTCTGTTAGTTTAATCAGTTTGTTATTGAAAGGAAAAAAAATAATGGTAAAGAATAATAATGCAACAACTCCTAGTCCAACAATCTTGGTTTCGGATGAGTTTCTA